TGGTACTAGCATTAAAATTGAGACATAGATCTATGGAAAAGAAAAAAGAACCTAAAGAGAACAGCCTCATGCAGCTATCTGATCTTTGATAAAGCTAAAAAAAAAAAAAAAAAAAAGTACATGCTAGGGAAAAGAATCCCTATTCAATAAATGATGCTGGAAGAAATGGTCAGCCACAAGTAAAAGACTAAAACTGGACCTTTACCTCTCACCATTTACAAAAATTAATTCTTGATGGATAAAGATCCAAATCTAAGACAGAACTATAAAAACCTTAGAATAAAGTGTGGGAAAAAGTCTGAATCTTATCAGCCTAGGAAAAGAATTTATGAAGAAGACTCCATTGGCAATTGAAACAACAACAAAAATAAATAAATGGGACTTAATCAAGTTAAAAAAGTTTCTACACAGGTAAGGACACCATCAACAAAGCAAAGAGACAATCTCCAGAATGGAAGAAGATATTTGCATGCTTCAAATCTGACAATGGACTAATAACCAGAATCTATGGAGAACGCAAGCGTATCAACAAGAGAAAAGGACCCCATTAAAAACAGGGCAAGAGACATGAACAGAACCCTTTTCTCATGAGGACAAATGGCCAACACACACATGAAAAAATTCTCGTTGTCTCTTATTATAACATAAATGCAAATCAAAACCACTTTGAGATATCACCTAAACTGAGATTAATAAACTAAGATATATGTATATCATGAAATGCTATTTAGCCATAAAAAATATGGACATTTTACATCTTTTCCAACAATCTTGAAGGATTTGGAGAACATTCTCCTAAGCAAAGTATCACAAGAATGGAGAAATAAATATCATATGTACTCAACACTAAATCGAAACTAGTAGATTAAGAAAGACAGGTCCTAGGGTGGCACCTGTGGCTCAAGGAGTAGGGCACCGGCCCCATATACCAGGGGTGGTGGGTTCGAACTCAGCCCTGGCCAAAAACTGCAAAAAAAAAGAAAGACAGGTCCACATGAGAGAAAACACAATTAAATTCAAGTGTGGGGGAAGGGGTTCAGTAAATTCCCACCCAGTGGGTATAATGTACAGGTATATGGCACACCTGCTAGGTGAAAGACACAACTACAACTAGGACTTTAACCTTATAAATGCAAACAATGTAACCTAATTGTTATATATACTCATATTAATCTGAAATTAAAAAGAAAAATTTAAGCTGGAGTAAGAAAAACAAAACAAAAAACAAACAAACAAACAAACAAAAAACCTTTAGGAGAATAAATACAACCCACGGTCTTGGAGAAAATACTTGCAAATCATATCTGATAATGGACTTGTATCCACTATATACAAAAGCCTTAAAAAGTCAACAACTCAATTTTTTTTTTTTTTTTTTTTTGAGACGGAGCCTCAAGCTATCCCCCTGGGTAGAGTGCCATGGCATCATG